GCACTTTAAAAAAAAACGAGCGCAAAAAAAATCAATCCATGTTCGCCCTTCGAGGGCACGCCGCATACTGAGCTCCGCAGGGCGGGTCAAGGCTTATAAAGCCTTGCCCCGCCCTGCAATTAGGCTTAGAACACTCTGATTGGTGGGTTTAAGCCAATCAGAGTGCTCTGAGTCATTTTACACAGCGTGGGAAAGTTCCTTTGAATTTTCCCACGCTGTGTAAAATGACTCATAACACTCTGATTGGGTGGCTTTCAAGCCACCCAATCAGAGTGCTCTAATCATTTACACAGCGTGCATTAAGGAACTTTCCACGCTGTATACGCTCGGCTACAAACACTCTGGTGGTGGCGGCTACTAATCAGAGTGTTATGAGTCATTTTACACAGCGTGGGAAAATTCAAAAGAACTTTCCCACGCTGTGTAAAATGACATAGAGCACTCTTGAAAACCACCCAATCAGAGTGCTCTGTGTCATTTTACACAGCATGGGAAAGTTCTTTAGAATTTTCCCACGCTGTGTAAAATGACTCATAACACTCTGATTGGCTTAAACCCACCAATCAGAGTGTTCTAAGCCTAATTGCAGGGCGGGGCAAGGCTTTATAAGCCTTGACCCGCCCTGCGGAGCTCAGTACGCGGCGTGCCCTCGAAAGGCGAACATGGATTCATTTTTTTTTGCGCTCGTTTTTTTTTTTTTTTAAGTGCGACGGGTATAATGGATTTTTATTTGGCCTTTTTGGGGGCTGAAGAAAGAAGATTTTAGAAAAAAGAAGACGTCAAATGGTAAGTTTAATTTTTTTTTACAGGTTAGTTATTTTATTCCCCCCTCACTATTTTTAGGGTGAGGGGGGTAGGTAGGGGATAGGTTTTGTTGGGTGGGGTGACTAGGGGCTTGGGACCCCTAGTCACCTTGATTGGGGGGGTGTTTCATTTAGGGCCCCCACCCACCGCTCAGGGGTGGGGGCCAGGGGGGGAGGACAGTAGGTCCCCCCCCCTTATTGTTTTATTGGGGCCCCCACCCACCGCTCAGGGGTGGGGGCCGGGGGGGGAGGACAGTAGGTCCCCCCCCCTTATTGTTTTACTAGGGCCCCCACCCACCGCGCAGGGGTGGGGGCCGGGGGGGAGGACAGTAGGTCCCCACCCCCTTGTTGTTTTATTAGGGCCCCCACCCACCCACCGCGCAGGGGTGGGGTGAGGACAGTAGGTCCCCCCCCTTATTGTTTTATTAGGGCCCCCACCCACCGCTCAGGGTTGGGGGCCAGGGGGGGGGAGGACAGTAGGTCCCCCCCCTTATTGTTTTACTGGGGCCCCCACCCACCGCGCAGGGGTGGGGGCCAGGGGGGGAGGACAGTAGGTTCCCCCCCTTATTGTTTTACTGGGGCCCCGACCCACCGCTCAGGGGTGGGGGCTAGAGGGGGAGGACAGTAGGTCTTTCAGCCTTTCTTACCTTGGCCATGTCTCTGAGTATTGCACACCTTGTGCTTTTGGGCACTCCAGTGATGTTGCAGCTCTGAAATATGGCCAAACTGGTGGCAAGTGGCATCGTGGCAACTGCACGCTTGACTTTTCTCAGTTCATGGGCAGTTATTTTGCGCCTTGGTTTTTCCACACGCTTCTTGCGACCCTGTTGACTATTTTGAATGAAACGCTTGATTGTTCGATGATCACGCTTCAGAAGCTTTGCAATTTTAAGAGTGCTGCATCCCTCTGCAAGATATCTCACTATTTTTGACTTTTCTGAGCCTGTCAAGTCCTTCTTTTGACCCATTTTGCCAAAGGAAAGGAAGTTGCCTAATAATTATGCACACCTGATATAGGGTGTTGATGTCATTAGACCACACCCCTTCTCATTACAGAGATGCACATCACCTAATATGCTTAATTGGTAGTAGGCTTTCGAGCCTATACAGCTTGGAGTAAGACAACATGCATAAAGAGGATGATGTGGTCAAAATACTCATTTGCCTAATAATTCTGCACTCCCTGTACACACAGACACACACAGACAGGCAGTCACACACAGGCAGACAGTCATACACACAGACACACACACAGAGGCAGACAGTCATACACACAGACACATACACAGACACACACACACACACACACAGGCAGACAGTCACAGACACAAACACACAGGTAGTCACACACACAGACACACAGGCAGACAGTCACACTCACACTGACAATCACACAGTTACCTGTGGAGTTCATTGTGGAGGTAGTGCAGCTCCTGGAGACTGTTTGGTGGGGAAGCAGGGACTCCTTCCGGCTTCCCCTGGCGCAGTTTTCCGGCGCTTTTAGCTGCACGGTAAGCTCCGCCCCCGACGCAAATTTTTATTTTTTTTATTCCGGCCGGCCATGTGTGAGCTGTGTCGGCCTCAGGGCGCCCCCTGCTCCATGGCGCCCTCTGCAGCCGCACAGCTCGCACACCCCTAAGGCCGGCACTGGTCCCTGTCTGCGCATAGATTGTACAAGCTTAGTCTTAGGATATATTTGGGTCCATAATGATCACACTGATTGGTTAGTCCAGTGTCCTTTCTCAAATGGGTGTGAGGGGCATAAGAAAGAAGAAGCAGGTAAAAATGAAGTATATCATATTTACCTGCTTCTTTCAGCCTATAGAGTTAGGCAACTGTCTCATTCAAAGATAAAGCTTTCTAATCAGAAAGTTGACTCAAAGTGATTTGTGTCCCTTTAACTTAAACTCACATCAGTTTACACACAAATTAATAACAACCCTCTTCTCCTCCATACTTGGGTTAGCTGCCAGAAGAAGGGATCTGGTCTGTACAGCTATTAGTCCCTAGCAGGGGAGGGCTGGCAGCCTTAGATCTGGGGACAAATCCAGTCAAGTGGCCCATTGCACCACCGAATCAGCTCACCATCCATGCCCACCTTTTCCTGGTTTTATAATGCAGCCAGTCACACCAAGTCTCTCCCTCACTCCGCTGGTACTGCCTAGTGCCTATCCTCTTCCTCCAACCTCCTAGAAGATTGTCTGTGCGAGGACTGGGAGACTGGGAGTTGTAGTTTCCTGCTGAGCTTAAGTTGGTTTCTTCCCACCCCACCAGGAGGGTGAGTGAGCCCATAGCAGGGACTACAACTCCCGGAATGCATCAGCTCTCCCTCCCTGTGACTCAGTGAGCGGCCGTTCCATTCCCCCTCCACTGACTGCACAGCCAAGCGACAACCAACAGATCCTGTCTCTGCCTCCGTGGCAGGCACGCAGGCAGAGACAGGCGGCCATTTTTAACATGATTTAGGCATGGCCGGTGCAAGGATTTTTGGGTACATAGGTGAAGATGCATTTTTCAACCCCCCTTTCCCCAAATAACATCTTCACCTGTGTGCCTCTTAACATCCCTTTTGTGTTTCTTATCCCCTCTTTTAAATTGTCTTAACCCCTTTAGTGTATCTTATCTTCCATTTTGCCCCATTGTGTGTCTTACAACTCCCTTGTGTATCTCTTAAAAACCCGTTGTCTCTTATCCCCCCTCTTTGTATCACTCTTACCACCTCCCACATTTGCGTGTCTTACTCCTTCCCACCCCTTTGTGTGACTCCTCTCCCAGCTCTATTATTATTAAATATTTTCCACCCAGCCTACCTACCTAGAGAGCTGGTGTGGATCTGTCCCTGGGGTCCAGTGGGGCTGCTGGGAGGCGTGCGGCTGTATTTGAATCTGAGGCGGCGAGGGAGCTCTAATCTCCCATCTCTGCTCTCCATGCCTCGCAGGCTGTCTACTGATGCTGGGAGCTGGAATATGACGTCCGGCTCCTGCAGCATTAGCAAACGGCTTGTGAGGGAGCAGAGCTGGGAGATCAGAGCTCCCTCTCCGCCTCGGATTCAAGCACAGCTGCATGCCACGCCGGGGGTCCATAACATGGTAGGAGGAAGCACTTCCCTTCTGCCGGTTGCTAGAATCTTGAGTTCCCAGTGTCAGTGCGCCCTAAGGCGGCCACCTGTGCCGCCTTATGGATGTGCCGGCCCTGGATTTAGGGCGAGCTGGGGGCAATTGCCTCCCTGCCTCCCGTCCTAGCCTGCCCCTGGTCCCTAGTGACTAGAGCTATGCAGGAGCCTGCTCCCTTAGGAAGGCTTCTGGCTCTCATGCAGGGGACAGCTTGGATACTGGATCACATCATAGCATCTCCTGCTTGCAAAAAGCTGTGTTAAAGGAACACTATAGTGTTAGGAATACACTCTGCAGTGGACATAGGGGCCATGCAGAGAGACATTCAGCAGCGCTCTATGCATGGTACTGTAGGTTGGGGGCTGGTCAGTCTGTTCCTTTAAAGTGGCATTTTCTATTGAAATTGGCACTTTTAAAAACTACTGAAAAAATGACGGCATGCAACACTTCATTGGAAATATACACGTGTATATATACACACACGCACAACATACATAAAATAATTATAATTTTTAACTGTTTACTAGACATACTCCAGTGTAGATAAGAAAATATTCCATAATTAAAAATGATTTTATTATGCATAGCAGAGCTCTTGCGTTCAGCCTTTGCAAGCCCAGCCCAGCCCATACTTTCTGTGTCTGTCCAATCATAGACTTCCTAATGCAGCTCAATGAGAAGTCTGTGCAAGGCAATTGCCTGTCTCTTCAATTTAGCTCCATTGAACTAAACACCTAGCAAGTGAGAGGGCCAGCGCTGTGATTGACAGCCGGGGTGTAACAAGGTTTATTTATTAAAGCATACCTCCCAACAGATAAAGTGCACAAAGAGGGACACTAGTGTTAGGGGTGTGGGTGATGGGGTATCCAGGAGCTGCTTGCTTAAAATGTGAAATTCCCTTTGAATATTCAAAATGTCAAAACTTTACCAACTAACACCATCATTTATTAATGTGCGATATAAAGCATGCTATTCCCCTTGCCAATGCCCCCCTAACACGTATAGTACACGTATATGCTTTTCATTGTTTATTGTAAATAACAATAAAGCTTTTATAAGAGAAACATTTAAAAAAAGAGCGAGAGCGCGAGCGGGTGCTCAGTTCCCAGGCTGTGAAACGCTTTCCCCTGACTTCCAACACTCTGCCACCGCCCGCACGCGAGACCGGTGACGTCACTAGCCTGCGCGCACCGTCGCCTGAACTTAACCGTCACCCAGGGAGCGCGGCGCGGATTAGTAGCTGCACAGTGTGTCTGTCCCCCCCACCCCGCACCGGGAGTCCTTGGAGCACCCTGTCCCCGCCGGCCCTCCATTGGCCCCCGTGACTCCCTGGAATTCCGCCCTCTGAGCCCGCCTGCCCTGCCCCAGCGGGTGTCGTGCCGTGGTGACCCGGGAGGAGCCCGCCGCGGGTGATGTCGGAGGGCTGGGAGGAGCAGCGGCCGCTCGGTGGCCCCCCGGGGCCGGAGGAGGAGGAGGAGAGCTCTGGCTTGGCGTTGTGGGTGTTGTTCGCCTGCAAGCTGCTGCTGAACGGAGCGCTGCTCGCGGGGCTGGGGTACGGGGCCTGCCGGCTGTACGGCCGCTGGAGGGGGACCGGGGCCGGGGCGGCCAGCTCGCTACCCCGCATGAAACGGAGAGACTTCAGCCTGGAGCAACTGCGGGACTACAACGGGGAGCACAACCCGCGCATCCTGCTGGCCGTCAACGGGAAGGTGTTCGATGTGACCGAGGGCAGCAAATTCTACGGCCCGGGTGAGCAGGGCATGGGGGGGGCACTCCGGGTGAGCAGGGCATGGGGGGGGCACTCCGGGTGAGCAGGGCATGGGGGGGGCACTCCGGGTGAGCAGGGCATGGGGGCACTCGGGTAGCAGGGCATGGGGGGCACTCCGGGTGAGCAGGGCATGGGGGCACTCCCGGGTGAGCAGGGCATGGGGACTCCCGGGTGAGCAGGGCATGGGGGCAATCCGGGTGGCAGGGCATGGGGGGACCCTCCAGGTAGGCAGGGCATGGGGACACTCCCGGGTGAGCAGGGCATGGGGACTCCGGGTGAGCAGGGCATGGGGGGCACTGCGGGTGAGCAGGGCATGGGGGGCACTGCGGGTGAGCAGGGCATGGGGGGCACTGCGGGTGAGCAGGGCATGGGGGGCACTGCGGGTGAGCAGGGCATGGGTGGGGGGCGGCACTGCGGGTGAGCAGGGCATGGGGGGGGAGGGGCACTCAATGGTCAATGGGGGGCTGTGTGCCATTCAAGGAGGGCGTGATCAGAGAGCAGTAAGGATAAGGACATAGAGGTTGTCCAAGGGGAAGAGTAGGATAGAGTGTAGAGCGGCCAGGGAGCAGACACGCTTAGCTCACTGCTAGTTAACGGTGCGCCGTCACACTGGCCGAGTCATCATAGGAAATATAGTTCAGAATCATCTGCAGTTGCAAAGATTAGTTAAGCTTCTGATTCTGTAGTAAATGATAGGATAGTTGTTAAATGCCTAGAATGTCAGTTGACTAAGTGGGGGAAGGTCATTCTGTAAACAGTTTGTGTTTGTTTGTTGTTTTTTTATTGGTTGAAAGTCATTCATCACATAACATCATTACTCCAATGATTTGAAGTGGTCATTTTGGTAGGAGTATGTATGTGCAGTGTATCCTGCTTGAAACACTACACATACAAAAATATTTGTAATTGTGTGCTGGGGGCTAGTTGCCCACCTGCAAACGTTACTTAAAGGGACACTGTAGTCACCTAAACCACTACAGCTGATTGCATTTGTACTGCTGAGTAAAATTATTCCCTTCAGGCTTTTTGCTGTAAACACTGTCTTTTCAGACAAAATTACAGCCTAGTGATAACTCCACTGGCCATTCCTCAGATGGCTGTTAGAGATGCTTTCTGGGGCAGTGATGCCATTCAGTGTCTCCACCCTCTGCATGCAGACACTGAACTTTCATCATAGAGATGCATTGATTCAGTTAATCTCTATCAGGAGATTCTGATTGGCCAGGGCTCTGTTTGACTAGTGCTGGCTCTGCCCCTGATCTGCCTCCTTGACAGTCTCAGCCAATTATGTATGGAAGCATTGTGATTGGCTCAGACAACCAGTTATGATTATGTCCGCATACAACAATGTCAATTTTGTGCATAAATTACATCTGTTGTCAGTGCGTACTGCACCCTGTCAACAGACATGAAAATGTTCTCCTTGCAGACAGAGCGCATGCAAAGGGAGGCTAGTTCTCCCCTCCCTCTAGCCTCTATTTGTGCACTTTGATCTTTTGGAGAAAAAAAAAGGTTTTTCCCACCAGTCCAGAGCACGCACATGCGCTCTGAAGCTGGAAAATAGTTGTCACAAATTCTCTAAGAAAAGCCTGGGATTAAACTGTGCACCACCCCAGTGACGTCAGGAAAGGGCATTGAAAAGTAGCGCCCAGTTCTGGGTTCAGGGTAAGTAAAAACTAATTGAAGTGGTCTGGGTGCACTGTCCCCTTAACCCTGCAATGGGTAAACATTGCTGTTTCTAAAAAGAAAAAAAAACCACAGCAATAATTCCCTTGCAGAGTTACGACTGCCTCTAGTGGCTGTCATTTATACAACCACTAGAGGCACTTCCAGGTGGCTAGGCAACTTTGGTTGCCTAACGGACGCTGGACGTCCTCATGCTCTGCCTGAGGATATCCAGTGTCAGGCAATCACCCGTAGGAAAGTATTGCAGCAATGCTTCTCTATGGGGAGGACCTAATGTGCTCACGGCATTTGCTGCGCATGCACATTTGCCCCTTCCTTCAGGAGCAGGCAGAGTGCCGAATCAGGTAACCACAATAAGAGTATTTTAACCCTTACTATTTGGGGAGGGGACGAAAGGGAGCTATAGTGCTTGGAATACAACTTTGTATTCTTAGCAATATAGTGCCCTTTTAAATTACGTTGTTTATGTAGCCCTAAGAAACACCTCACCTCAGTGAAATTCAAACAACTTTTTTCTTTTTTTTTTTTGCATAATGTTTAGATAGGAAAGTTAGAATTTCATATCTGCTGCTCTGTTAATTAATTGCTTAAGTGTGCAAAAGCCTCCTGTGTGTAATTTAAAGTTCATTGAATAGAGCAGGAAGCCAGAACTTTTAAAGTGAATCTCATGAAATGATCATTCTAAGCACCAGCCCCATTACAGCTTAATGTAGTTGTTCTGGTGAAAGAGACGGTCTATCTGATAAAATGCAGTGTTTTTCATTGTTTCTAAGGACACCCCTTGTGGATGAGATAAGTTAAAAAAAAAAGCAATTTCTTTAGAATGATTCTGCTTATAGAAATATGACTATACACAGCACTGCTACTTGACAATGGACTTAAGGTGGTCATGGTGCCTGAAGTCTGTATGTGCAGTTTTCTGCTTTGAAAAGCTACAAATACAGATATTAGCCCCTTAGCTGTTAAAGATGTAACTCCCTCCTGTCAACTTAATTAGCCAGCTCGGAATAAAGTCCAGCCCCTATCTTTCCATGACTTTCCTTCTTTGGCAAAAGGAGTGAAGTCAACAGAGGATTGGGCTTCAGGGTGAACATGGCCTCAGTGCTGGAACAGAGGTGAGTGGTTTTGTTTATTTTGTTTTTATTTATTTAAAATCCTTTTGACGTTCGACTTTTTCTCCTTATTGATTAGACATTTACCATATACCCATATATATTGCATCTTGTGAAAAATGCTATAAACTGATATTCATGACCCAGACGTTTGCGTACATGAAGATATTAGCTGAATACTGTTCAGCTGCTTTGAATGAATCAAATGCCTATTAATCTCTAGACAGACAAATCAATTTGCTCATGTTTTATGAACAAATCAGTTAGTTAAATGAAGATCTCATAAGATGTTGCATATAATTTTAGATTCAATTTGCTTTTAGGTGATGTCATAGCTAATCTATGTATTGGTATATACTTGCTCCTTAACCATCTACAGCGTCTACAGGTTATATGTTACTCATTGGTGACACTATAATCAAGATTTCTTTTTTTGTTGCAGATATTCAGATGTGTGTAAATAGATTATAATGTACAATCAGTATAGCTAACTTCTTTATATTCATTTTTGTTCTTAGATGGTCCATA